ATGCTAAGCCATCGATTAGTTGCATCATACAGTGCTTCACCCACGAACATCAGAATTACAATTGGCACAAATCCAATCCATCCGTGATTCGCTGTAAATAATTTCATCCACACACCAGCACTGATGTTACCTCCGGCTGACACTTCCTCTTTTACAATACTATGTTCATCCGGTTTCATAACTGATTCTGTTGCAACTTCCTCTTTTACAATGTCTACATGTTTTCTTTTCTGTGCTGCTCTATCAAATTGAGCCCTCCTCAGATCATACAATAGTTTTACTTCTTCAGCTGATGTCAACAAGTCGTTGAAATGACCTTGACCTTTAACTCTACCGCTATCTAGAAGTACACAGTGATCGGCTTTTGGCAAATATTCTATTTGATGTGTAATTAATATTCGTGACTTTATCTTCAAAAATCCATCAGGACCAATACAATCTTCAAATATAGACTGAGCAACTGTCGAATCAACTGCTGCGAGTGGATCATCAAACAAATAAATGTCGGCTTCTTCATATACGGCTCGCGCTAAGGAAACTCTCGCCTTCTGACCACCACTAAGATTCACGCCTTTCTCACCAATGACCGTTAGATCACCAGCTGCCATTGAATCGATATCAGGTATTAAACAACAGATCTGCAACACTTTCGCATATCGTTCAGGATTTAGCGGCTTGCCGAACAAAATATTCTCTCTTATAGTATCAGCAAAAATCCACGGCGTCTGAGAGGCATAAGCAAAAGTTCCATTACAACGACTCGTTCCTGAGGAAAGTTTCATTTCACCGAGGATAGCCATCAATAATGAGGATTTACAGGAGCCAATTGATCCCATAACACCAACGAGAGATCCCTGTTTTACATGTAAATCAATGTCTTTCAGTAAACATGACTGATTTTGAGCATCCCAACAGAAGGATGCCTTGTTCATTAGTACAGTACCTGCCAATTCGTCCTGGCCATGTGTATTGTCTGTGTCTTTCCCACCATCCTCGTCTTTCGACAGATTCATAAAATCGTCGATTCGTCTAGTTGAAATTATAACTTCACTCAATCTCTCAAGACCTAAGGGAAGAAAAGTTGTCAACGGAGCTCGGAGTGTTGAGAAAAATGACAGTACTGTGAATATTTGCGAGCCGGTTAGTTCACGACCCATTAACCAAATACTACCGAACGTAGCCAAAGAAATTATGGGCAGTGCAGCAAAAGAAATAGCCATGTTACACGCTCGAATACGCCCTGCTCGCCGAATACTCTTAAACTCATTTTCCCGAGTATTACGCACAACGTCTTCTAATGGTTTTTCCCAGCCATACATTTTGACGAGCTGGCAGCCGTTCACTATTTCATTGACAGTTTTCACACGCTTGTCTGTCCACTGCACAGTATTNAGTGGCTGTGCGATTTTGGCTACAGAATACGGCAATATTAACAGGCCCGAAACTAGCATCTCGCGCCAAAACGTCGAAAATATTAGTTTTAAAGTACTTGTGTTTATACGTTTCAGACGTTCAGATTCGAAAGCATTCAGTAGTTGACGACATTTATCATTTGGTGAGAGTTCAGATAGATCATCATCTGTTAACTGACGTTTAGTACCAAGTTTTAATATCGGATAAATCCACGACCACAACAATAATGCTGGCCACCGTTTCCACGATGATTGTGCTACATCGAAACCGCATGGCTTACGGCTAGTCACTGAAGTTTCGATTGTCATGAAGAAAGTTCGGTTTTATGTATTAATGGAAATGAATGAAGAAAAGTTCATTACAATTCGGTAAGTACATAAATCCATAACTGCGTAAAAGCTAAAAGATTAGTTGAAGTGGAATAAAGCATGTTGAAAGAACAAAACAAAATCTAACGTATAATAATGTAGATATATCTGTTGTTGCAAAAGGTGAGCTGAGTACAAGAACAAGTTGACCATCTAATCTTGCCGTTTGTTTGACTTTCTGCGTCTTCTTTATTGATTGTTGTGATACACTTTTGTGATGTTACCTTGTAAAACTGCATGTTTGTATTTCTACCAACGGAAGCCTATCCAAGTGGTACCTTCCGATTTCCTTCGTTCTTACGTCGATCGATAGAAGGTATCGGGCTAGTGAAAAGCTTAAAAAGGATTTCCCCCCCCCCCCATGACTCTTGAAAACCCTGTTTTCTGTAAAACCAGTTTTCCGAAACTCTAAAATATAATCAAAGCCTTTCTTAATAAAGCATGATAGTAGCCCACAAATTTCTGATTAAAATAAAACATCTTCCAGCTCTACACCACCGTTCTTTGCAAAGTTATAGAATTTACAAGAAAAGCCCTAGTTGTTCATTGTCGACTCACAACTACAGAAATAAGAAGAAATTAATTTCGGAATCGGAACGTATCACTTGGATAGATTTTCTCTTAAGTTGTCTTGTAAACCAATTTGTTTTTATTTTGCAGGAAAGTCAAGAGAAAGTTTGCTTCTATATTATGCAAGAGCTTAATAAGTGTTTTATATGCGTGACAGTATTATGTGTACTATTTCAAAGATGCTTTTCTTCTGTAAAAAAGTCAAGGGGGAATAAGCAGGCTTCGGGACTCCATGGGACTCTCGGACTTCGTGAAGTCCTATGAAGTCCAGAAATCTGTATCAAGTTTTGGACTCCGATACGATACAGAAAAAAGGCTTTGCTAAGCAGAAGCTGAGTATATAAGTATATTGAATATCGGAAAAATCCCAATAGGCGTGTTAGATCCGATAGTTGAAGCAACTTTTAAGGTAAGTGGCTCTCAATATTAGTAATTAGCATTTAAAAACTCATACTTTCTTCTTTTATACTCGGGAGTTACATAAACCCTTTCTAATCACCATAACTTCTCGGCTTTCTCTACGGGTCGTGATGGTTGGATTAAGTGTTAGCCATTTACTGGCCATACTTGTCCTGTTCTCTATGCATAACACTAACGAGTAAGTATCAAGTAAAGGACGGGTATCGGTTTCTGCTAGAAAATGGTCCAATATGATTGATCGGAAATGCTTCCCTTTTCACTTCCCAACACTTCCCATTTTCAAAAAATCCTTCTGGTGTCTTTGAAAAAAAACTACTTTTCACTTTTCCCCACTAGTTCCACAAAAATCATTTACCTTTTTCCGCAAATTTCTAGTCCTATTTCAAAGTCCTTGAGCAAAGCTCACATATAGAAAGATAGAGAATTTTCTAGGCTTCAAAATAAGCTACAACTTTGTCTTTGGAAAATATGCCCACATGGGTCAATGGTCGAAGTACTAGACAAATATCATCATTTCCACCTGTCTTAAGATTTTAAAGGAATATTTCTTGAACTCATCTCCTCAGACTCATAGAGCATAGAATTCTGGGAGAAGTAAGACATCTTCTGGCGCTCAAGTTCAGGCGACTGATATGCCATATTCTATATCACTTTTACAGTACAAGTACCACATTAACTAGTTGTTGGCGGTTTTAAACTACGGTCCTACTGCCACGAAACTATATCCCGATTGGAATATACAAAATAGCAGATATCCCCACCGGGCTATAGGCATATAGCCCGATCGGGATATGAAAAGAGGCAATATCCCGGTTGGCCTATCGTATCTCGATAGAGATACACTTTTATATCCCGATTGGGATACACGGTTCTGCTCAAGTGTGGGATACTTCATCTTCGAACATAAATCATTAAAGATATTTGCATTATGATTTCGACCATATCTACATGTGCCACTTTTTTGATATTGACACTGTGGTCCCCAGCGACAAAAATCATGAACAGCACTTGTACAGGCATGTTTAAATTGACGTTCGATCACTTCCTGGTATGTTGCCTTACCATTTTCATAAACGAATAAAAAGACCAATAAACCACGTTCAATCAACAATATTTCCAATTGTACCTTCTGAGTCAATGATCTCTTGCCATGACTTGTAGTGTGATTGATTTGGTTCAGATTTGCGGACTAGAGCATCACCGATCACAGTGGTTTCCAGCTTTTCTTGTAAATCATCCACGCTATCTATTTTCTTGCGTCTCGGCATTGTTGTTCGCCGTTTCAATATCTTAAATATAATCTAAATGTTAAAATAGATAGGTTATTCAATGTTAGGTTAGCTGTTCATTCGTCTATATATCAAGAATGTAATAAGACGTTGATAAAATCAATTTTCGTCACTATGTGTATGGCAGTTACCGACTTTCTCTGTTAATCCATTTATATTGAACGGTTAGCCATATTCGACGGGGCGTGGCGTATCAAATCATACATATGATTACTTCATCTGAATGTAAAATTTTTTGAGGAAATTGTAATCGTTTGTAAATGTCTCGTGACAGAATCAGATTACACTGCCCATGTATTCGAATTTACTTTGTTTTCTACTTTTTTTTCCTCTAAGCTAGTTGGATCAGTAATTTTTCTTTTCCCTAGCTTGCGCATAATGTGTGGTTTTCTTTCTGGTTGCTTTAGACAAACAGTTCAAAAAGTTGCATACGAAGAATTCTCATATCTCGTTGTTCGTTGATTTCAAGGTTTTGTGGGTTTTAAAAATTTCAAAAATAATCCTTTCCAACTTACAGTCATATGCAGAGTCTTTGATCCGAATGCGAGCACGAAGATTATGATATAAAGTTTTTACCTTAACGTAGAAAAATAAATCACAGGTTCATGACTGAAGGAGAGCCAGGCTGGTCTTGACTGATTATTGCGAGTATTATCGTGTTTTAATTTTATCCTGCCTTCAATTAGAATACAACATACTTTCTCTGTTCCTAAATAGAACACGTCCATACAAATACATTTCGTGTTTAATCAGTTTATAAAGAAAAGATGTAGGTGTCATCCGAAGTGTATAATCGAGGTTTATGCCAGGAGGAAAATATGTTTAGAAAAGGGAGGGTTACAATTGCGCAAGAAGTGGACTCTGCCTTTTTCTAAACTTTTGCCTAACACTTCTGTTAACTTCATGATACCCAGCTCAAAGAATCCTGTAATAGGATCATATGCAGTCTCGTAAGATCCAATCGGATTCTAAAATAAGATCTTGTCTGATCTATAAGATCCTATGAAATCATATAGGATCTTATAGGAAACACATCTGCCATCTTAAGGTAAGAAATGACGTAGAATTCCTGTTATAGGATCCTATGAGATCTTACAGTAGGAACTTATAAGATCTACAATTTTATTATAGGATTTGCTAGGATATTACATGATCAGCTAGGATATGACATGGTTTATCCTACTAAGTTTATTATTTTTATTTGTTTAATTATTCTCTGATCCCAGATAGTCAGAATCAGGTGATTCTAAGTTGGCATATGCCCAAGACTTGTGAGGACTAGCTCACACGTCGTCGAAAAGTATAGCGAGTTTCAATGGCTCACAGAATTTCGAAAATTTGAGCCTAAAAGAATTTTTCATTTCCTACAATAGAGCTGCATTTATATTATCGTTACTACAAAACACGCAGGTGATTGTGTTCTCGTATAGAAAAAGAAAAGACACTAGATTTGGCACTAAACGTATTACAGTTAGTGTGTGATCGCATACCGATGTTTGTTTTCGACACGTGGGACATGATGCATTGGAATTTACCCACAGATAAATACACTAATCACACCCAAGCAAAACAATGCCTTTGAGATTATCTAGCTATAAAAATATGTTATCGGGCAATATCGGCTTGTGATAGCTAGCTATCCGTACCACTTTTATTGAGTTAGCTAGCTATATCGAGTATGATAGC